AGATTGGATCCCTAGGAAGCCCGGTTGTGCCTGCTACTATGTAGACCAGGCTGGTTTCAAACACTGAGATCTTTGGCCCCTACCCGAGTGCAGAATTGAACGAGAGTATCACCAAACCTGGCGAGTGATGATTCTTATTTTAATAATTAATAATTTGTTTATCTTTATTGAATGTGCACTAGTGTTTTGCCTGCATGTATGTATGTGGATGCTGGACCCCCTGGAACTGGAGTTACAGACAGGTGTGAGCTGCCGTGTGGGTGCTGGGAACTGAACTGTGGTCCTCTGGAAGAGCAGCCAGTGCTCTTAACCACTGAGCCATGCTGCAGCCTGAATGAAGATTCTTAATGAGGTCCATTTAAGTCTTGGGGGTTTGGAGCAGGAGCAGTGGGGTTGACACAGGATGGAGGCGGTCGGACTCTGACCACGCGTCTCTCTGTGCTCTAGATCAAACCAGTCTTTTCTGAGGGCACAGACATCTTTCAACCAAGTGCCTGCATTGCTATCAATAGCTACTGGAGACCAAAGAGCTGGGGTGCTCTCTGGGGTCAGATGTCTGCCTCGCACCCGCACATAAAGAACAGTAAGCAAACCCCTCCTCCCACACAGGACCCCTCCTCCTACCGTGGGCCCCTCCTCCCACCCAGGACCCCTCCTCCCACCGTGGGTCAGCCCCCACAAGCTTCTTCCCAGTCTTCCAAGCCCGCTCCCATTTCCCCCTCAGCCCATACCAACTGCCTCCCACTTTCCCGCAATGTCCAGCCTGAGGGCACTGGGCTCTCCAGAGGCACTGGCCTTCCGCCAGTGGTCAGCGTTACTGCTGGCAGAGACTCGGGCAGGAGGTTTGGTTGGTCCTTCGCTCTCCCATCACAGATGCTCGCCTGGCTCTCCCCATCAGCTTCAGACCTCCTCCCAGATGTTTCACCAAGGCGCTCTTCTCGTCTCTGTCCTGGGTGGAAGGCTGACTGCGTTCCCTCCCTCCTCTTCTTCCTTCCAACCCCTACCTCTATTAAATTAACAAATTCTCAGTGCGGAGCTGACGTAGCCTCTGATGTGGGCATTACTACCCCATTTGAGAGAAAAAAGCAGGTGCAGAAAGGTCCGAAGGCTTGACAGAATCTCACAGACCGAGTCAGTCAGAGGAGGCTCCAGAAGTGGGTCTTCTTCTTCTGGTCCCAAGTTACACAATGTAGCCAGGCTGGCCTGGAACTTGTGATCCCTCCCCCTGCACCAGAAAGCCTGGCTAGGACAGTGCAATTAACACTCCGGGTTAAGCTGGCGTCATTCCCGACACATGGCTTCCTTCTGCTGAGTACTCATGCAGATGCCAGGCTGGAGTGTGCAGATTCGTTTTCTCTTTTTTTAAATATTTCACTGTGTGGCCCAGGCCAGCCTCACACTGATCCTCCTCGACCTCAGCTTGCTAGTGCTAGGATTTCGGCCTTCTGGCCTGGCTTGTGTACATTTTATCGAGCATTTTGAGACAGGGTCTCAGTAGTCCACACTCCCTAGGTCTTCTGCAAAAGCAGTAGGCATTCTCGACCACTGAGCCATCCTCCAATCTCTCTCTCATCTCTGTTGCTAGGAACCCAGGACTTGTTCTGGTCTCCCACCGCCGCCGAGGTACACATCACTCTTCTACCCTCTTCTGCTGGAGAAAACCGCCCAACCTTCAATACATCTCCGTGTCTTTCTTTTTCTTTTCTTTTTTTTTTTTTTACTAAAATATTTATTTATTTATTATGTATACAATATTCTGTCTGCATGTATGCCTGCAGGCCAGAAGAGGGCACCGGATCTCATTACAGATGGTTGTGAGCNTATTCTGTCTGCATGTATGCCTGCAGGCCAGAAGAGGGCACCGGATCTCATTACAGATGGTTGTGAGCCACCATGTGGTTGCTGGGAATTGAACTCAGGACCTTTGGAAGAGCAGGCAATGCTCTTAACCACTGAGCCATCTCTCCAGCCTATCTCTGTGTCTTTCTCTGAACGGTCATATGATGCTGGACTCCCCATCCTTCTCCCCAAGCCCTGACTCGCAGACTCCACACTCCAGCCGACGTTACAACCTCAAATCCTCTGGACTTTGTATGGACAGTTTCAAAGTTTATTGCTGATGGCTCACTGGGCATTCCCTTGTCCATCTATCGGTTCAGGGAGGGGAGAAGGGTGCTAAGGACAACCAGGTGGCCTGAGGATGGATTTGGGGGCTCTGTATGTGTGGTCCTTCCCTAGGCAGCAGCTCTAACCTCAGGTGAGCAACGGCCACAGCAGGGAGCAGATGAGCAATTGCCATGCCCGCGTCTCTCTTTGGATCTGCTGCTTCCTGGATTTCTGTAACAATCCGACAAACAGGAAGAAGACTGTGCGCGAGGACAGCAGGAGCCACTCTCCGGATCTCCATCTGGGCCGGCCCTCACAGCAGCACTCCCCCATCCCCCCCTCGGCCCCATCCGGCCTCTGCTCTCCATCTGTACCCCACTCTCCTACCTTTACTTTGTTTGTCCAGCTCCTTCTCTTGTCCAAAGTCCTCACGTGTTCTCCCAAAATAAACTGGTACGCAAAGTGTTTGGTTTGTCTCTTCTGGAGGTGAAGGCCTTGGGAGCTGAGCTGGACTGGACCGCCCATCGTGGGGCACCTCTACAACTAACTCGGCATCTCCAACTCAGCTCCAAACAAAGCTGAAGAGGACCTGGATGCCCTTATATGGTGAAGGTTGGGTTGGTTAGGTTAGCAGACATCCCCTGAGAGGGGCTGTATTGGCAGGATACAGGATATGAACAATGAGGTAGACCCAGGGAGGAGGTGCCTGAGGAGGGGACAAGGAGGCCCAAGGGAACAAGGGAGCCTTGTTTTCCAACTCCCAGGTTTAATGTCCCTTCTTAAGCCTCTCTCCCAGTTTGACCAGTTAGAACAGTGTAAATCTTGGGACATTGTGGATTTTTCTTTTTTAAGGGGAGTGATGTGTGTGTGTTTGCTGTATACCCTGTTGTGATATGTTGTTTATAACCTAACAAATAAAGCTTGCCTGGAGCATCAGAGAAGCAGAGCAGCCAACCACTAAAGTTCTTACCTCTACCAATGCTCAGACCAAAAGAGGTCTCTATGAATCCTCAGACTGCATCCCCAGACTGCACCATCTCTTCCTGCTTTATGTTCCTCTCTGTGCCCATTCATATCCTTCCCCGTCCCCACCTCCCCAGTGCTGGGATTAAAGGTGTGTGTGATTCCCAGGTACTGGGATTAAAGGTGCAAGCCACACGGTTTCTCTTTTAAACAAGATCAAGCCCAGGGTGGCCTTGAACTCTGAGAGTGCTGGGATTACAGGTGTGTGCCCCTCTGCCTGGCCTCTATGGCTAACAGTTGCCGGGCTCTGCACTCTGATCTTCAGGCAAGCATTATTTGTTAGGGCACAAACTACACTGCCCCTTACTGGCCTCCAGCTCCGATTCTCCTTCCTCCGGCTCCAGGGTTAGGATTACAGAGTGTGCCAGGGCAGGCTGCTATGAGTAGGGTCTCCCCCAAGGCGGAGTGCTCAGGAAGGGACATGAAGGCAGCACTGGAAGCTGGCCAAGGCCTCTGAACTGGATAGGTCATGCAAGTGTTTGCGACAGCTTGTGCTCTGCCGAGAAGGTTTACAGAACAGGCTGCTCTCATGGTGTATTCAAAGGCCGAGGCAGCATCGTGTTGTGTCAAGGCCAGCCTAGAGACCACGACTCAAAAGGCCAAATAAAGCCGAGATCTCTATATCTCTATGTACATCTGTCCTCAAGTACACACACCTGTGCGTCTCTCCTCAATCAGGGGCGGCCCACCTCCAGCACAGGTGACCACCGCAGACTCCAGCACTGCCTTCCAGGGCAGCGGAGAAAAGGGGAGCACACGGGGGGGGGGGGCTTTAGCACTGAGGTCGAAGACTGAGCCTGGTTATGCTCACCTGAGAGCGCAGATGCTGAAGCCTGGCTGACGCCAGCGTCCACTGTGGAAGGGATACAACCGATCACCACATAAGCACAATGAGCACTCTCTGTGCTGGGAAATTTCCCTAGTTACTATGGTTTGAGACAGGATCTTTCATGTAGCTCTGGTGTCCTGGAATTCCTTATGTAGGCCAGGCCAGCCTCTGCCTCCCGAGCGCTGGGATTAAAGGTGTGTCCCACCATGCTTAGCCAAAACTTCTCAGTATTTAGTGTGATAACCCATCAGTGATAATCCTAGCTCTGAAAAGGCAGAGGCAGGAGGGTCAGGAGACCTCATCTTTTTTTTTTTCCCCTCTGGGGGTGGAACCATATTCGTCCCTTTTAATTGATATTTATTGAGCTCTACATTTTTCTCTGCTTCCCTCCCTGCCTCCCCCCTCCCCCTTCAATCCTCCCCCAAGGTCCCCATGCTCCCAATTTACTCAAGCGATCTTGTCTTTTTATACTTTCTATTTCCCATATAGACAGGAGACCTGATCTTAAAAAAAAATCCCAAAATACTAAAATGAAGACTTAACAGCTGCAGTCCCCAGCATGCTACATCTACCACAAGGTGCCGGGACTCTGGAAATGATCCAGGTTGTTCAATAAACATGGATGTGGGCTTGAGTTTCTCCTCAGGTGAAAAGCCGGCACCACGTGGAGCTAAATGGCAGTCAGCCTAGTCTTAGTTTATTATGGAGGGAAGTATGGCTGGAAGGCTAAGAGACCCCCCGAGTTAGGAGAAATGAGGACTCGGGGAGATGACAGACCAGGATGGTGGAGCCAGGTGGGACAGGTTGCCATGCCAGGGAACTGCACAGGAGCCCACCCTCTGCCCTTCCTGCTCACGCCTGACACTGGGGCTAGAGACAGAGCAGAAGCCAGAGGATAAAGAGCTGGCTCTGAGGAGGTGCAGCACGCGGCCGGACTGACGACCTTGACAGTCGGACTGACGACCGCGACAGCGTGAGCATAGGTCACACCTGCTGGGACAGGAGGGAGGCCACACCCACGTAGCTGGAGTATAGAGGAGGCCTAGGAGACCACAGGGATCGAGGACTGCAGAGCAGAATCTGGAAGGGGACGCGTCTGGGGAAGAACCTTAAGTCCTGAACTGTTGAGGAACAAGTGTATTTGGTGCAGGTCGGCAACGGACACACCCAGCTCCAGGGGCGGGGTAAATGGGTCTGGGCTCTCAGACACCTTAGGAGCATGGAAACCAAGCGGGAGCAAGGAGAGGTTCAGGGCCTGGAAGAACCGGTGGATCTGGGACTCAGACAGGGGCAGGGCCAGATGTCTTCTCGGGGCCCAGGCAGAGGGCTGCGGAGCTGGGCACTGGACCAGTTGCAGCAATCATACTGGCTGCAGTCAGCCTTACAGCAGTAGTCTGAGTGGTGGGAGATGCATTTTTCTTTACAGCGGTAGGAACCGTAGTGTGCGTGGAAGCAAACTTTAACATCCAGAGGGTGGGGACAGTTATAACCCGTTAACAGTTCCCCTCAACCCCAAACCTAACTCCCCAGCATTCATGCAAACCAGGTTCACTTGTCCACACACACCTCCTTCCACCAACCCTCATGCTGGAGACAGGGCCCTTGACCTGGCCTCTCTCACAGTGGTAGATGGTGCTAACCATGCCGGGGACGAGCTGCTGATGGTGCCCTTTTCTGAGTCAGAAACGGGGCCCAGTGAAGGGTCTTCCAAGAGGCACAAACGGCAGGTAGACATTGGCAACTGGGAGCCTGGCACAGAGGAACAAAGGAGATGGAGCCAGGACTCATTCTCAAGTGCACCCAGGGCCCCGGCTCCACCCTTTCTGGATTCGGTTTCCCCTTCCTCCCAGACCCTGGCCCCATTTACCCTTTCCCATCGCAGAGTCCACCATGGTCAGCACACCTTACAAGCCTTCACTATGGAATTCTGGGGAGAGGCGCAGTTCCTGTGGAATAACCCCAAGCCCCACCTTCCTAGGACCACACTCCTTAGTCCTCAGAGGCAGAATGGTTTTGACAGGCGGTCTGGGCAGAGCTGCTGCGGGTGCAGGGCTGGAAAAAGATCCTGACCAGGAAGATGGCATGTCCTCCCACAAGGTCTGGTTCCCACATGGGCACCAGCTGGATCCTTATTGGTGTTTTCATCCTAGACATGTCCGAAAGATCGGTACCCCACTTCAAGGGCCATGGGCAGTGCCTGTCCACCTACACCACAGGGTTGGTTCCCACTGTGCTGTGAGAGGTTGGCCAGGCCTCCCCATCCCTTCCAGATGGAGGTGACTCAGCTCTCCCAGCAGGGGGCACAAGCTAGCACAGCAACAATGTGGCTCCGCTTTCTCTGGGTTCTGTTTACTTCAGGATTCATTTCCTTTACCAGCGAGACCTAGAGTCTGCCTTATGAAGCCCCCAGAGCAGAAGCACAGCCACGGAGCAGATAGAGAGAGGTTTGAACCCTTTCTTTTCAACCCTGTGTATTACCTGTGTATGCTCTGCACCCTTTCCTACCTGTCTACCAACATCACCAACCCATGCAGCCTCAGTCTGTGCTATTTCCACCTGGGGACGATGAACTACGAGGGTCCCCGGAGTCTGGCACACCACCACCTTCCCTTCCTCAACCCTACCCAGCAAGCACCAGCAGACGAGCTCGTGGCCTTTTCTTCCAGTTTATTTCATGTTCCCACCACGATAGCAATCCCTTTAATTTAAACTAAAAACCATAGAATTCCTGAAAGGGTGGTAGCGAAGGAACAGTGGTGCCAAAGACAGAGGAAAGGTGCACGGGGCATCAGCGAATCGTCTTGACTGGGCTCTTGAAGTTGCTGGCGGCTTGGAGCTGCAGCTGGTAAGCCATTGGATGAATCTTGAAACCATAGAGCCTGGACCGGGCAGAGGTCAGAGAGGCAGCGGGGTGAGTTCCCTTCCGTCCCCGCCTGTGGCCGGCATCCCACCACTACCCCAGCCTCCGCCTCACACCTACTCAGGAGTCCCCCAACTTCCTTGCTCATGAATACTTAATTTTTCCCCCATGAACACTTGAAAATGTACCCCCTTTTTTCAAAACAGGGTTTCTTCTCTGTGTAACAGTGCTGACTGACCTGGAACTCGCTTTGTAGACCAGGCTGGCCTTGAACTCAGAATCCACCTGCCTCTGTCTCCCAAGTGCAGGGATTAATGGCATATACTACTATGCCAAGCTTAAAAATGTATGTTTCCTAAAAAGTTTCTTTATGCATATGAGCGCTCTGTCTGCATGTTCTGCTCGCCAGAGGAGGGCACTGGATCTCATTACAGATGGCTGTGAGCCACCATGTGGGTGCTGGGAGTTGAACTCAGGTCCTCTGGAAGAGCAGTCACTGAGTCATCTCTCCAGCCCCTTAAAAATGTACCTTAGACATCCACTAAAATTCAAATTCTAGTCCAGGTAATGGCAGTGCAGGTGTGTAGTCTCATTTACAGCAGAGGCAGAAGGATCCTGAGGCCAACTCAGCCAACAAAGACCCTGTGTCAAACACTGCCCATTCCCCATTCATGATCCAAACACCAAACCAAACAAACATGCTGAGCCACAAAACCTGAAGATTTTGGCAAAGGGCTGATCATCCAAGATGGCAATAGGCACTGTATAAATAGCCAAGAGCCACACATTTAGAAATAGGCAGCCATCGTCAGCATCCCTGCTCTATGGATAAGAAATCGAAGGAACAAGCAATCAAGTAACTCCCCCAGTCACTCAGCAAGAAAAAGCCCTGACTTTGGGAGAGGCAGGTCTCAAGAAAGGGCTGTCTGTCCTCAATCCTCTCCAGACCCTTGCAACTGCCTCTGTCCCCCACCTGGGTACAAACTGGTTGGCGGGTCGTTTGGGCCGGTACTCTGGGTGCACCATGAAGAGCATGTGGGGGAAGCCAGTGCCGAAGTAGGCGCCGTCGGTGTGATGATGCCGTGACGATTTGGGGGTGTACACGTCCATGCACTTGGGGCAGTAGAGCTTCACCATGGCCTCTCCTGGGATGTCCGAAAGGCCTGGGGGAGAGCCAGACCCTGCTGACCAGGTACCCCCAACTCTTCCCAATCTCCCACAGGACTCAGGCACTGACTAGATTAACCCGACTTTTTGGAGGATTGCCAAATAGTACTCTCCCCTCCTCCTTCCGACACTCACCAATAGGAAGCATCGGCTGGTTCTCACAGTACACACGAGGACAGTAGCCAAAGTCTCCCTGCTGGTACTTTTCCAACTAGGGCACAAAACGGAAGGGACTGGTGAGTGTAGAGCACTTCCTTGCAGCTCGACTCACTTCTCAGTCGCCCGAGCCTCCCGCGCCTAACTAGAAGCCACTCCTGTCAAGGCAGGCCTCGACTTCTCAAGTCGGCAGACTGCAGAACACAAACGCCATTTGCTGTTTGTCCCTGAGAGCTCCTTCCTGTCAATGGTTCCATCTTTCCCTGACGATACTTCAGCAGGACCCTCAGCCCAGCTCTTATCTCTTCAGCTAGACTTCCTGACAGGTACAAGACATGACTTCTGATTCATGCACCTGCATCCTGACTGCCTCAGCAGCAGTGGGAGCAGAGCCTCACCATTTGGGCGATGCCTCGGTTGGTGAGGATGTAGCGGGCGTGGATCAACCCATAAAGCATCTCCGCTGCCTGTTCAATCAGGTCACTCTGGTTAGGGTTGTCCTCCAGCTCTTCATCTGAAAGGTGGGATGGTCACTTGTAACCCCACCTCATGCCCACGGAGGCCACCTACAGTTTATCCAGCGCCTGCTTCTGAGCCCCACCCTATCTGCCGCCCATGCATCAGCACTGCCTTCTTTCCACACCTCTCTCTGCCTGCTTCTTCCCTTTCCCAACACACACACATAAACACACAGGGCAGAGGGCGGCACTCTAGACAGGCAGGGAAGAAGCCGTCACAGAACCCGTGAAGAAACCAGCTTTATGAAACAGAGTTGAGTCACATTCAAAGAATGTGAAAACAACATGGAAACAAACGTTTCCAGCCCCAGAAGGCAAGAGTCAGGTAGGGAACCAAATGAATGAAGAAGCCAAGTGTTGTTGCCTGTGCCGTAATTCCAGCACTTGAAGGCTAGGGCAGGAAGAGCATTTGGTAAAGTCCAGTTGGGATAGGAATGGAGGATGGCGGAGAGAAAACACATAAATAGCAAGCAAGCAAGGGGTATGGGAATAGGAGAGCTGGAGAATCAAAAGGAAATTTAGAAATGAAAAAAAAAAAAAGCAGTTGCGTGGTAGTGGCACAGGCTTTTAACCCCAGCACTCAGGAGGCAGAGGCAGGTGGATCTCCGTGAGCTCGAGGTCAGAGAAATGCTGCCTTTAAATAAAGAAAGAAAGAATAAAAAAGAAATTCAAGGAGCAAGTGAGCAGCGGCCAGAAGAAAACAATGCACACGCAAGTGCACACAATATCATCAACCCCACACTCAACAACAGCCCCAGGGCTCGTTACCAGGCTCCAGGTCCAGGATCATGTCTAGAGCTTGTCGATAGTGAGGCACCTGCTCATTGAGCCCAGTGAGATTAAACTTGTCCTGGATGTAGTCTTCATCCACCTACCGGGACAGGGAGGGCAAGAGGCTGAAACCAGTGTGGACTCCCCTCTTTCACCTGGGCCCACCAGGTTAACGACCGGTTCAGTTCCCCTGTGCCCTACTCCCGATTCTGCACAAGTCCTCAGTGTCCCACAGAAACCGCAGCTCTTTTCTGTACAGTGCACAGACGTAACTCAACCTCTGTCCCGCATCTCTAGCAACTGATTTGCCCTTTCCTCAGGAACATCAGACTCTCTGATCTAAGGACTCGGGAATCATGAAGGCTAAGCAGTCTAGTTTGTGAAAAGCATTTACAATGTCTGATGTTAACATACTATAATTTTCACGTTACAGAACTCTAACAAGAAACATCTGAATCTTCCTGTCACCGAGATAACCTCTGTTAGCCAAGCACAGTGACAAGCCCTTGTAATCCCAGCACGCAGGTGACTGAGGCAGTAGGATTGCCATGAGTTCAAGGCCAGTCTAGGCTATGTGGTAAGCTCCGAATGAAACCTGACCTCAAACAACATAAAATAAAACATCGAGGGCACGTGGAGCTGGCCAAGAAGGCAAGCTAAACTCACCTCACAGAAGAATTCATTGCCGCGGAGCCCACAGAACCAGGAAATCCAGGACACCTCCTCAGAGCTACTCATCTTCACGTCGGCTGGGAAAGAGGAGCGTTAAGTGGAAACCAAGCTGTCTCTGGGCTCTTCCCTCCTCCCACGCGTTCTCCCCGAAGACCAAAGAGCCCGAGGCCACCTTGGCTTAAGGGACCCCAGGCTCTGAAGCATCGCTCTCCGCGTGTCTCTTCTTTGCCTCGGCTCCCGTTCAGTGTGAGAATGAGTTCCACTACTTTCCAGAAGATGACAGGTCCTGATGCACTAGTGTGACCCCCGTGCCCGCCGTTACCCAAGACCAGGCCCCTGTCTCCCCGCCGCTCCCCCCCCCGTGTCAGCTGCGGCTCCGGCTCCCCACCACCGCCGCTGCCTGCACGCTCCTGGCGCCTGTCCCAGGGCTCCCGAAGTTCATCCTCCCCTCAGGACCGGCCTCGCCTGCCCTCCTGCGGGATGCGCCAGCGTCCCCACAAGTCCGCTCCTCTCCCCAGGCCATCCACCCTCTCCCGGCTCCCGACCCGGTCACTTCCTTCCTCGCCCCCACATCTAGGAGCCCAGGACCCAGCACCGCGCCCGGGGCCGGACGACGCGGCGCGGAGACAACCTCAGACTCACCGGCCGGACAGGGACTGGGACTGGGGCGGGGAAGGGGGAGTTGCGCTTCGAAGGAACGACAGCGACCGCTACGGCGCAGGAAGCCGACCCGACCGCCGCAGGCGAAGTGAGGAGCGGGGGGGAGTGGAAACTGGGAAGGGGGGAGGGAAAAGAGCAACGCGCAGGCGCCAGGGGCCGCCCCCTACCTCTGTGGACGCCGGGAGATGGAGTCCCGCCGGAGGCGAGAAACTGACGAAATGAGGGCAAGGTGAACTACCAATCCCAGGAGTACCCGCGCGCGCCTCTGGGGTCGCGAGGCCCTAGAAGCCGCCTGGGGGCGGGGCGAACGGAGGCGCCACCGGAAGCGGAAGCCAGGGGCCGTGGCTTCCCAACCAGGAAGCCTGGGAAATATAGTCTTCGGCGCTTTAGGCTCGCTTGGCTGCAGGGCCGGCACCAGTGGGGCGTCCTCCCCGCCGCGCTCCCTCGCGGCTCCGCCCGGGGGACCCTGGTTCTCCCTCCGTCAGGCCCGCGACAGCGGTCGCCCAGCATCAGGCATGCGTAGAGGTGTGGCTCGGTGGGGAGGGACTTAGGTCGGGGCGCTTGGAGAGCAGTGCGGCGAGCGCGCTAACCTGTGGTGGCGCCAGCCAATAAGCTGCTCGGCCCTTTGCACTTCTCCATGTCCTCGGGCTGGAGTGGACCCTAAGTGTGTGATGAGGGGCACCGTGGTGATGCTATTTCATCGCACAGCTCCTCGGCATGTCACTGGTCAGGGCCTTTCTTAACGCAGAGCGTGGCTTCCCAGCTCCAGAAGAGGAGCTAGGAGCGGGAGGGACCACGTCGAGGGTGACGAAGAGCATTGTGGGGGCGTTATGGAAAAGTAGGACCCCAACCGACAGGTTCCCCTGGGTCCTCGCGCTACCTGGGCACGCGATGCTTTACGCAGATGCTTGGAAAGGTTCCAGCGCGGGAAACTGAACCTTGTGTGTGTGTGTGTTGTTGTTGTTGCTGCTGCGCGTGCGTCTTCCTGCCACGTGACTATTTGTGTCAACTCTTGCATATTGCAACAGTTCCATTTTGCGGTACGGAAGTGACAGTGCAACACCTTGCCCTGGAAACCTTCCAGAATAATGTCACGCCTGTTTTTATTTGGGGAAAGAAGACCCCCAAATAAGATCTAGCAAGAGTTAAAAGGTCAAGCTGGTATTTCTTAACGCGGTATGTGCTACAGGGTGCAAAAAATGTTTTCAGAGAGAGCCTGCCGTTTTTGTTTGAAGGGAGATGGGAGTGGAATGCAGGACCACTAGACAACTGTCTGGAGGAATACTTTTTCCTATTATTGCTTTTGTCTTTCTTGTGTTAGAGATAGAACCCAGACCTCCCAAATACAAGGCAAGCATTCTACAGGGAGCCTTATCTACCATGGCCTCATGAAAATTTATTAACATCTGGGCAGTCATTCTAGGGATCCCTGGGCTCTCGAGATCCTAGGTCGTGGAGTCAGTTTGGGGTGGGAGGTCCATTTTAGTTCTAGCCTGCTTTCTCAGCCCAGCATGCCACTGGAGGTGGCGTTACTCATCACAATGGCGACCTGAAAAGTTGAGTGGTTGCCGGGCGATGGTGGCGCACGCCTTTAATCCCAGCACTCGGGAGGTAGAGGCAGGCGGATCTCTGTGAGTTTGAGACCAGCCTGGTCTACAGAGCTAGTTCCAGGACAGGCTCCAAAGCCACAGAGAAACCCTGTCTCAAAAAAAAAAAAAAAAAAAAAAAAAAAAAGTTGAGTGGTCATCTTAGCTGTTCTCATTTCTCCCCAAAGCCATGTCCAGGCCATCTCTCATCACATTTACTCCAGCCACTGACTCCAGCGACCTCTGGAAGGATGGGCAGCAGCAGCCACAGCCAGAGAAGCCAGAGCCTGTCCTGGATGGGGCTGCAGCCCGGGCCTTCTACGAGGCTCTAATCGCGGACGACAGTAGTTCCCCTCAGCCCCAGAGAGCTGACCCTATCAGGGAAAGAAAGAGGAAGAGAAGGAGAATAACGAGGGATGCTGCGGCAGGAGCCTCGGGGCAAGGAAGACCACTTGAGGATGAAGACAAGATGACCCCGTGGATCTTGCTGGCAGCCCAGAATGGGGATGTGACAGAACTTCGAAGGCTGCTGGAACCCCAAGAGGCAGGGGGAGCCGGAGGGAACATCAATGCCCACGATGCCTTCTGGTGGACTCCCTTGATGTGCGCTGCCAGGGCAGGCCAGGGGGCAGCTGTGCGCTATCTCCTGGGCCGAGGGGCCGCCTGGGTAGGGGTCTGTGAGCCGGGAGGCAGAGACGCTGCTCAGCTGGCTGAAGAAGCAGGCTTCCCTGACGTAGCCCGCATGGTCAGAGAGAGTCCTGGGGAGATGAGGAGCCCTGAGAACCAGAACCGGTGAGGAGGGGCTTAGTCATACCCATCTTCATTGTGTTTTTCTTCCAGGACACCCCTCACAGGGGCTCTCCACCTTCCAGTGTACCTCGTTCATGTCGTAGAGCAGGGTGGACAGGGTCTTTGTCCTTGTCTGAGAAGTTGGGGGTAGGAACGCCTTTCTCAGGGTCGTGAAGCTGCAGTAGGTCAGTGCGGAAGCTGTGCTTCTCACATAGTGGGCACTTTAGACAACACCAGCTCTGCTCGCTCTTCCTAAGAGCTCGAGGCCTCCCTAAATGCCCCACGTAGTCCCTCTGGGCAGATGGAGAGGGGCCGGTGGAGACTTGCCTAACGCTGGGCCGGGCTGGGCAGACCTGGGGTCCCTCTCCAATGCGAGACAGAACAGATGACGCTGAATCTAGAAGCATGGAGCAGGCTGCCCTGCCCACCAGGTTCTGCACAGCGGCAGCTTCAGGCCCTCTGCTTTTCCTTCCTTCCCTGTAACTCCTTTCTTTCTCTGCAGGCCTCCTCCAACCTCCCGGTTCTGTGAGGACTGTGGTGCCCATTTTGAAGACCCCAACCACCGTACATCTACTGCCCACCTGCTGTCCCTGTCCAGGAGCCCCCAGCCCTCCAGCCTTCCCCTTGGGGTGCCCACCTCCAGTCCTGGCTTCAGGCTGCTGCTGAGGGGTGGCTGGGAACCAGGAATGGGGCTAGGACCCCGGGGCGAAGGCCGTGCCAACCCCATTCCCACTGTCCTCAAGAGGGACCAGGAAGGACTGGGCTACAGATCTGCACTCCAGCCCCGAGTCACGCACTTCCCAGCGCGGGATACCCGGGCTGTGTCTGGGAGAGAGAGGGTGCCTCGAGTTGCCACACTGAGTCAGAGGGAGAACAGGAAGAGAGAGGAGATGGACAAAGCCTGGGAGCGAGATCTGAGACTGTACATGAACCTTGAGTTCTGACCAGGCAGGCTGGCCTTTAATTTGCTGGACTTGGGCCCCTGGCCTGGGTATTGGACTCCTACTTCCTGGGATCTGCCTAGATGCCAGACCCTCGGGTTCTGGCTCTTGGCCTCTGCTTATAGAGAGAATGACTGAGAGTTGGGAGATAAATAAACTTCCTTCATTGTGGTTTGTTTACTTTGTTGCATTGGGGCAAATCTGAGTCGCCCTCACTGAAGGACAAGCTCTGCAGGTGATAAGGGGAGTCCCTAGCCCTGCTGGCTGCACTTTATCTGTTCTTTGAAACCTCCCTGAAGTAGGAATTGCCCAGCTCTGTTCAAGGCTCCTCTCAGTGTCTCTGGGTCGCCAATCCCGTGGTGTATGCCCTGTCACAAACTAGTTCTGCTATTTGCTGGAAACACCACAAACCCTCAAGTTCTGAACTCCTTGATAGATAGGGGAGTGAAGTCCTGCAGAACTGACCCGTGTGCCTAACACTATCCAACCTGTATGCCATCCTAGCTGGCACCAGAGAGCTCTGACCTCCCAAGTGCAAAGTTTTCAGATGACCTTTTATTCTTTCCTTTTTTTTTTTTTTTTTTCCTTTTTGACAGTCTCATCTTGCTATGTAGATCCGGCAGGCCTCAACCTTGCTGTGTAACTCCTACTGTCTCTGGAATGCTAAGACTAAGGTGTGTACCCCCGTCCCCAGCCTTGCAATGTGGAGGATGTAACTTAGAGTGTAATACCTGCTACACAAGTGCTTCTGGAGTTACAGTCCTAGTCCTCACACGGTCGGCCCCAAGACTCCATTTCACTCCCCAAAAACAGGCAGCACTTTTCCCGACATTTTTCTTTCCTGCTTGGCACCCACGCTCACTTGGGATCTTCATACCAAGTGCTAGAGACGTGAAAGCTTTCAAATCACTGTCACGAAGGGCAAAGAGCAGTTGCTTAAGTCACGTGGCTCCTGTTATTTACTTTTCTGGACCAGCAATACGTGAAGTGGTAGGTGAGAAACGGAGGAGTGGCGGGGGATGTGCAGAAGCTCAGGGCAGCTTGAAGCGCTTCGTTAGGGAAGAAGAGGCTAAGAACCAATTCAGAGCCAGCCTGGCCTATATCTGCCCAGGCCTTTCCTGAGCTACACGTATAGGGAATCTCTGTCTTTTAAAACAAAAACCAAGGACCGAAGCGCCGAGTCGGAGGTGGGCGGTGAAGAGCAGAACTGGGCTTGTATTCAGGTTCTGGCTTAGGTGATCCTCTCTACGCCTGCGCTCGTGGATGGCGGGGGCTACGGGGGAGGTCGTTCTGCAGGGTCCGCCTCACGAGTGGCCGAGCTCCGCCCCCGCCGGTCCCTCCCGGCCCGGTACAGCTGCTTCCGGGCTCGCACGGCTCCGGGAGGCCGCTCCCCGGACGCTGGGCCCCAGAGCTACCCGCAGCGTGCGGCGCCGAGACGCCTGGGTCCCCGGGGAGGCCCGCACTGTGCCTCGCGACTGCCATCTCCAAGGACGTCTCCGTTCTGACCTTGCGGAGGCCGCGTCTCAGCTGCGCCCTCGCGGGACAGTGAGGCCACTTTGTGGACCGAGAGCCTCCTAAGTTAAGGAATGTGTGTAACCGCCTGGAGTTCGCTGGACACTTCCATCCCGGCTTCCTCCCACCTGGGACTTCCTGCTCCTTGAGCCCCTCGGGCAGCGCGGTTTAAGGCTCCTCAAATTCAGGACCGAAGGACTCAGGACCACGTACCTTCCTTCTTCGATGGAGCACCATCTCCCCTTTTGGGGGCACCTTGGGGTGTGGCCTTGGTGAGTGAAACTTAGGGTGCTGACCGCTGGGAAGGAAATCTGAAAACAGAACATTGTGGGGGTGATCCTGGCCTTATAAGGCCCTGGAAGTCTGTGAGTGTGTGGGGTGGCAGATGGATTTCTTTTCCTCTAAACTGACAAGGAGGCAGGCCATTTACCACACTTGAGGCTGCGTGAGCTTTTTCTGAATTCTGAGTTAGGACGACATCAGACATCACCAAGCAGATACCTATTCTGAACCAGAACAGATTCCGGCCTCTGAGGAGATCCCGAGAATCTTAAGCAGAGTCAGGAAGCGGTCGCAGATTTGGGGGGGCTCACTATACAGTTCAGTCATGTTCCTGCGAAGGCTTGGTGGCTGGCTGCCTCGACCTTGGGGCCGCAGGAAATCAACAAAAGCTGGTTTGCCTGCCCCAGAATCCAGATGGGTGGACAGTTCCCCCGAGAATTCTGGGAGTGACTGGGACAGTGCCCCAGAGACAATGGGAGATGTGGGGCCTCTCAAGAAGACCAAGGACTCAGGGAAACCAAGGATCCCTGGGGCTGCTCCAGAGTCGAGCAGAGAGGTCCAAGTGGATTAACTTGGGAGCAGAAGAAAGGATTCCTTTAAGCGGGACAAGACTGCCTCTGGCGTTCAAGAGTCTGCGAGACTGGAGGCTGGAGGAGCCGTTCCTAAACTGGAAGGGGGCTCTGTGGATTCAGGCGGTGTGAAGAACCTTGGAGCGCCACCCCCAGGAGGACTAGGCACTACCGGACCAGAAGCCCTATTGGAGAAACCTGGTCGCCGGCAGAAGCTCCTGCGTTGGCTCCGGGGGGACCCAGGGGCTCCCTCACATCACCTGCGGGACCCAGAGGAGTACCTGCAGATCTCCACCAACCTGACCCTACACCTGCTCGAGCTGCTAGCCTCAGCCCTGCTGGCCCTGTGCTCCAGGCCTCTTCGAGCTGTCTTGGATGCTGTGGGCCTCCGAGGACCTGTGGGGCTCTGGCTACACGGGCTGCTGTGTTTCCTGGCTGCCCTCCATGGGCTCCACGCTGTGCTGAGCCTGCTTACTGCCCATCCCCTGCATTTTGCCTGTCTCTTTGGCCTCTTGCAGGCCCTGGTGCTGGCTGTCAGCCTCCGGGAACCTACTGAGGATGAGGAGAGCACTGATTTGGAGAGTGAGGGGCAGGGGAGGGAGGCCAAGGAGCCAAGGGAAGGTCCAGAGAGGACGCTGTGACTGGTGAGGGTGGGGGCAAAGGGTGAGACAGTGCTGTGGCCTTTGGGAGGAAGGTGGGGAAACCCAGATCGTAAGCACAGTGACCTCAGGGATGGGGAGGAGCCTCAGGAGCCTCTGTCATACAGGTGACAGATTGGGGCTGTTTAGATGTCCGAGAATGGACAATGGGACGTCACCATTTGAGTCACCAGCTGTTGTTATTGCTTCCTTTTACATTTATCCACCTTTTTTTAAATTACCACCTCGAATCCCCCCCCCCCACACTTCACTTTTAAAGAGCAAAACAAATAAAATAAGAGTGATGGTGGAGAATGAAGGCCGAAGGGTCCTTTCCAGTCCCCGGGGTGGGCGGGTCCAGAGGCGGACAGAGAGCTCTGCATTAAGAGGTAGTGAGGAGATCCGTGCTTTCCCTCGGATCCTAGGGTCAGAGCCACATAGGGGACTGGGGCTGTGAGGTAGGGGTTGTGGAAGGGGCTCCAGGTGTGATGGTACTGCAGGGAGGGTCAGGTACTCAGTGAGATCCCGGAGAGACAGGGATGATGAAAGCCACAAGGGCATGAGGACCAGTTCAGAAGGGCTGTGCGGGGCAGCGGGGGCAGCACAGCTCCTCTCATCTCCAGTCGTGCTAGGGATTTGCTCACTCAGCAATAAACGCGCTACACTAAATCCTACATCTACCAGTGCGGTCTGAGAGGTGCTGCTCTGTGTCCTTCCTGATGCCAAACAGCTGCGCATGGCAGAGGTTTCCTTCTGGGGCAGGGGCGTGCCAAAATGGAGAAGTGACTGATGTCTGCACACAAAACTCCGGAGATGAGGATTGAGAGCCATGTTTATTATCCTTGAGAGGGCGTGGAGAGTCTTCCAAGTCTCCCCTCGAAGCTCAGTCCCACCCTCTGTCTAGCACAGATGGAAGTGACGGGTCACTTGCTGGACAGCTGGCAGGCCTCTGTGACAGGAGGAGGGAGAGGAAGCACAGTGAGCAGAATGGATTGGGGATAAGGGACCCTTCTCTCTCTCTCTCTCTACCCTTTGCTCCTGTTAGCCTCTAAAGCGGTGGGTCTCAGCCTGTGGGTTGTGATCCTTGTGGGGTTGGATGTCAGATCCCCTACAGATCAGATGTTTACATTTTGATTCACAACTGTAGCAAAGTTAGCTATGAAGTAGCAACAAAAGGAATTGTATAGCTCCGGCTATGAAGTAGCAACAAAAGGAATTGTATACCTCGGGGTCACAGGGTCACCGCAGTGAGGAACTGTATTAAAGGCTCCCAGTGTCAGGCAGGTTGAAAATCTCTGCTCTAAAGACTCAGAAACCTACCATTTTCCTCTTCTTATTTTTATTTTTGAGAGACAATCTCACTACGTAGCCCCAGCTGTCCTGAAACTCACTGTGGGGACCAGGTTGGCTTCAAACTTGTGGCGATTCTTCTGCCTCTGTCACTGACCAAAAGCCTCTTTTTTTTTTTTTAAAGATTTATTTGAGTGATCTATCTGCATGTACACCTTGATGCCAGAAGAGGGCATCAGATCCCACTGTAGTTGGCTGTGAGCCACCGTGTGGTTGTGGGAATTGAACTCAGGACCTCTGGAAGAGAAGCCAATGCTCTTAACCTTTGAGCCAGAGTCCCCGAGAGCCCTGCTTGGTAGAGGCCTCAATGTGCCCACCCTGATAACGTCTGCCTTGGGCCATGGCCTCTGCTGACAATACCCACAGACCTCTTCTGGGAGACCTCAACCCCTCACCTTGATTCCTGGGAGTCACCAAGAAGACTTTGAAGTCCAAGCAGGAGGTCAGAGACTGGAATTCCTCCACACACTTCTCTGGAGGGTGTGGTGATCGGTCTGGAAGGACAGGGAGCCGCCAGGCCAGTCAACATTACTGCCTCTCAGCCCTGCCCCCCCCCCCCAACTCCCTAAGAGACCTGGTGAAGATCAGCCCAGCCTGTTCTGAAAGGGAGATCCTTTGGCCTTCTAGTTTCCCTCGGCCACTTCCTGCCCTGTATCCCACTCACTGTAGAGGAGAAAGCGTTGGTATCCCTCGCCCGTCTCTTTCAGCATGATTCCGCCTGGGCACGAGCTGGAGAAGAGGTCTGTTTTCATGTCAGGCCGGCCTGTCAGGATTGGGAAAGGATCGTGAGGACAGATGCAAAACCAAGCTGAGTCAGGCCTAGTAATACAGGACCGTGATCCCAGCTGCTCAGGAAGCTGAGGCAGGAGGATTTCACTTTCAAGGCCTGCCTGGGCTACAGGGTTAGTTCACCACCCATCAGGGCAATGAAAGGTTAGAAAGGAGTCTGGGGATAGCTCATGATGGTGTGCTTCCCAGCATGCAAGAGGTCCTGAGGTTAATCCTCACTTCGGAGGGGGATGGAGGGAGGGCGGGTGGGAACCAACCTTCAGTCCTGAGGTCTGTGTTTCCTTTCCCTTCAGTCAGGTGGTATATCCATTTCCGGGGCACGCAGATCCCGTTCTTCCTGCGGAGGTGGCAGTAGAAAGATGGAGTGTCTTCCAGCCACACTACCAACCTTTGCTGTTTCCCACAGCCCAGCTCTTTGGGGTTCAAGCTGCCAAGGAGAGCTAGGTCCATGCTATCAGCAGTGGGCAAGGACTCCGGGTGGGCTGACTGTGCAGTCTGGGCAGAGAACACACCCAGTGGGGCCTCTGCTCCCTCAACACTCACGTGCGGACAGCAGCACGAAGCTGGAGCTGCCTTGGGGCAGAGCCGGTCGCCATGTTGAAGACAATATTGTCCACCGAGTCAAAAGTCGCTAACTCTTCCTTGGTGGGGGCTGCTCCTGCGATGAAGTACCATGTGCCCAGGTGGGGATCTGGGGACTGGAGAGGCAGTGAAGGAAGCAAGAGGATGAATTAGTGGGTCCGGCGGGAAACCCATCCAGCCTTTCCATCAGTCAGTGGACCAAGAGTCAGGGCTGAGGTGCTGGTGCCCTCATCCTCTCCCCTCCTTTCCCAGCATGCCCTAGTCATCTTGAGCTACCCACCCACAGCCTCCAGCTTCTCCTTCGGGTCTCCCTTTCCTCGGTCCATACCTCTTTCTCGCCCACTTCCAGCGTTGTGAGTTGACTGTGCTCAGGGCATTGGCTCATGGAGTTAAAGACAAGGCCGTAGAGGTAGAGCACAGCCGCCCAGACTTGGTGGAACATCGCGGGCAGGAGAGAGCTGCTGTCTGCAGGTGAGGGGACCTCTGCCTTGACTGTTCTCTGCTGGCCGCTCAGTCTACTCCGCTTTCAGCCCCCTTGCCTCGACCCTTGACCCTTTTACCTGCTAATAAGTAACTCCAGCCTTGTTTTCCAACCCAAGCCTAGCCGAGCTACAGCACTGGGACCTTCCTCCCCCTCTTCCGGATGCAGCCACCCTACAGTATATGCGGGCATGTCCAGTGACTCTGAGGTGTCAGGAGGAGAGCCGAGCCCTACAGTAGAAGCCTCCAGTCTTCCCGCCTGTGTCTGACTTGGAGCTCTGCTGTCTGTGAAGCTCCGAGGAGAAGTGACTGAGTTAGGTCTTTCATTCATTCACTTGGCAGATTTGGGGATTTCCGTTGTTAGCCAGGAACTGGCTAATCCTGAGGGACATTTTTTTAAGAAACGGAAAAACAGCTTTACAAACAAAACATTGCAAGAGAAGCTGATAAGTGTTAGAACAGGCGCCAGTCAGTCGCTGGGGTTCTTTCTCCTTTTTTTCTTTTTTTTTTTTTCAAGACAGGGTCTCACTATGTGGCTCTGGCTGTCCTGGAACTCACTCTGTAGACCAGGCTGGACTCACTGAGATTCCTCTGCCTCTGCCTTCCAAGTGTTGGGACCAGTGCTGGGCTAGGGACAGTTTTTTTCCCCCTCCTGTGCTGGGGATCAATCCTAGAGCTTTGAGCACACCAGGTCTGCTCAGGAGTAGCAGTGATCCACACCCCCAGTGCCTGGGACAGTTGTAGTAATCGCTCACGCTATTTTTCCATCTGTGGAATGGGCGATTCATAACTCTCAGAGTTGCATGAGATCATGTACACCCCAAGTCAGAAGTAGATGTCCACCATTGTAGTGACTACAAAGCACCCACTGCTATTGCTGATTATAGGTTTTAAAGGGTAGTGTGCTACATTGTCAGGAACTAAAGTCACCGGATAGTCTTAGTATACAGATCTGTCAATGCAATGAGGTGGGATTTATTTACATAAATATTATCTTCTCCTGAAGCGCCTCAAGGCTCATGCTCAAATATACATAAAAATAGCTAGGCAGTGGTGGTGCAGGCCTTTAGTCCCAGGTAGGCAGAGGCAGGTGGATCTCTGTGAGTTTGAGGCCAGCCTGGTCTACAGAGCTAGTTCCAGGACAGCCAGGGCTACACAGAGAAACCGTCTTGAAAAAACAAAAACATATACATATATATATATATATACATACACATATATATAGGTAAAAAGGAAAACTCCATGTTAGGATGAGGTGTTTAATTTTAATTAGGCAGGTTCATTAGCTGAGCCAAAGGGGGCCTTTGATTGCTGAACTTCAGTACTTTGATAGCTGGACCTTAGTAGTCAGCCTGAGGAGGAAGTGGCCAAATAAGGGAATAGACATTGCAGGCTAGCTCTAGGAATGCAACCTAATGGCTTTGGGCAAGGCAGAGGGAATGGGGTAGAAGGGCAAGGCCTGCCAGAGCCATCCAGACTCATGCTCCATGCTCTACCTGCCGATCAGGCCACCCCTGGTTACATACCTAATAGTAGCTTGTTCAGAACAACCGCAAAAATGTGGATGATGATAGGCTTGATTATTCTACTGGAGTAATGATCAGGTTTGTGTGTGGGACCAAGTAGGTGCCCTACCACGCAGGCCCTTGAAGTTTTTATAATACAAATCTAAACTCTGGGTCTAGGGAAATGGCCCGGCAGGTGAGGGTGCTTGGGAGATCGCCAGATCCCCACACAATGGAAAGCGGACACCAGCACGTTTCTCCACGTCTATGCTATGCTGTGGCAGACGCAAGGTCACAATCATTCAGGAGGCAGAGGCAGGTGGAGCTGAGATCCACGACAGCCAGATTTACAGTGAGACCCAGTATCAGCGGGAAAAAATTACTTAAACGTAGTCTGGCAGGGCACCAAACGACTTTAATTCCAGCACTGGGCGGTGGCGGCGTAGAACATTATAAAGTTCCAGGCAATTCAGGAAACAGAGTTTTATCATACAGGTTGGCACCGAAGAACTGCTCACTAAATGCTTACTGGACCTTTCATCAGCACCGGCACCTAGGAGGAGTAAGTGGGGGTGGCGGCAGAGAAACTGTAACCGTCCCGCCCTGAGCAACCCCCTTCGCGGCCAGACTTCAATCCCTTCTCTTGCCCTTTAATCCGATCCCAGAGTTTTTGTTTTGAGACAGGGTTTCTCTGTGTAGCCCTGGCTGCCCCGGAACTCGCTCTGTAGACTAGGCTGGCCTCGAACTCACAGAGACCCGAGTGCTGTGATTAAAGGCGAGCGCCACCAAGCCCGGCTCCGTTTCTTTCTTTGATTTATTTATTTTCACAAACGTTTAAAAAGCAGTAAAGTGCTTTGTTATCCTATAGCATGGAGTTCCCTCGGGGGCTCTCAACCAAAGACGAGATGACGCCCCAGAGTCTATCCTGGACACCCGGGACAAGCCAACCCAGCCCACGGAACGCCCCAACCGTCCAGGGAAAAAAGTGACTTCCGGCAGCGCAGGGATGACGAGAGGACCCGGGGCTGTGCCCAGGCTTAGGCGGCTATAAGCATGCCTGTAAACGCTCTCCTCCCGTCCACACACGGACGGATGCAGATGAACGAGATGCAGTCCCCGCAAGTGCCCTACAGGCGCCCGCGGCGTTTCTCGAAATAGAGGCAGCCATTTCCCTACCTCCCCCCCCCACACACACACACTCAGTAATTTTTCTTCAGGCGTTGGAGTAGCCACCTGGGTCTCGCAGCGCTCCGGCGCGCGCAGGGAAAAAACGCACACCGCCCGAGGGGGGCGGGGAAGGCCTTAAGCTGTGCGCACGCGCAGCGCGGCTCACGCAGGCGCAGTGCGGTCCCCGGGCGACGGCGGCGGCGGCTCCTCGGGGTGTTCGGCTCCCTCCCATCTAGGCCGACCCCGGCCCGTCTCGCCCCCTAGAAACTCACTGTTTGGGGCTGTGGACTTTCTCATCGTGCCCCACAAAAGTAAATTGGGGGGGAGCCTGGGGAAGCCGGAAGTACCGCCTCGAGATCCCCCCCCCTTACGATCGGGGAAACGGAAGTGTTCTTTGGTGCCAGGTTGGGGGAGACCGGAAGTGACGGTACCGTGGGGAAGTCGGGGGGCGGAGCCACGGGGTGGTGGGCTGTGTATGTGTGTTTGTATGTGTTTGGCCGCGTGTGGGTTAAGTCGTGTCGCTGCAACACCGACGGGAGGCGGAGGCGGAAGAAGGGGGCGGTCAGCGAGCCGGTCCGGGCTCCCGTGAGTGTCCGTGGTGATTTAGGCGGGTTCGGTCGTGGTGGTGCGCGTGCGCGAAGCCACTCTCCCCCGCGGACTCCAGCGCGACCCTCCCCTCCCCCCCACTTCTCCCCCTCCCCCTCGCGTTGTCCTAGGATTTCCCGATCTCTCGGGCGGGCGCTTGCTCGGTCGCGACCGGTGATGACACTGGTCTCCGGTCGGTCTCGTGCTTGCTTCCCCGATTCCTAGCCCAACTGGCTCTCCCTATTGTGATTGGCATCGTGGAGCCCCTCCCACCTTTCGTCCTTCACCTCCCTATGCCGTCGATCTCCTGCCCTTTGTGCTTCTCTTCCCGTGCCCCCGAATCAGAGAGGAGGGATGAGGGCGAGGATGGATTTATGTGTTTGTGTATGAGAAACTTTTAAGGGATTGGGGCGGAGATTGGGCCCAGAGAGTCTTCCGTGTCTATAAAACAGTGCGGGCGACAGCGAAACACCCTCCCCCCGTTCTTCCTTAGAGAGCTGTCGGCCATGGAGCCGAGTGATAGTACCAGTACCGCTATGGAGGAGCCCGACAGCCTGGAGGTACTGGTGAAGACCCTGGACTCTCAGACTCGGACTTTTATTGTGGGGGCCCAGGTGAGACAGCGGACCTTTGTAGAGCTGATACCCCGTTTGTCTTCTAGGGATGAGCCCGATTTTCTTGTCATTGACTCCTTTGTCCCTTCCTGGATAGAACATCTGATGTTCTTGTTGAGTGAGGAGGTGTGGTTACTGTTGAGTGGGGCAGGTTTGTTCCGTCTTCACCTTGATGGGACTCAGTGAAGCGGGGAAATAGGAGGAATCTCTACCTGTCCTGGGCGGACCTTGGCCTAAAGGGACAGACTTGACCCCGGCCTTTGGGACCGGAAGCAGCATAGGGACCTCAGACAAGTGTGGTGTGTCTGTTCTTTTTTTAAACAACTTGTTCACAGGTTTATACTACATAGAGTCCAGAAACCTGCTTTCATCCACTGTTGGGTAGAATTGCCGGTATCTGGGGCATAGTTTGAATCCCTTGAGCTTGTAAGGTGCGGTGTGGACGCAGTAGCATAATCCTTTGAGAAAAAAAATCATGAGGTGGTCATTTTCGTGTTTTTCTAAAACACTTGAAATATCACATATGCTTCTGTGAGTAGGTGTACGTGGGAGTTAGTTCTGCCCCTTACCGAGAGTCACTTGTCTAATTCTAATTAGGAAGATTCTTTTCTGGGGGGTGGGGACAGTATCTCAGGCTGGTCTTGACCTCCTGGCCATTTTGCCTCCACTGTCTGTGCCACATTTTAGGTGTGTGTACCATATTTGACTTTTTTTTTTTTTATAGGGTTTCTTTGTGTATCCTTGGCTGTCCTAGACTCGTTTTGTAGACCAGGCTGGCTTTGAACTCAGAGATCCACTTGTCCTGGGTGATGGTGGTACACACCTTTAACCCCAGCCCTTGAGAGGCTGAGACAGGCAGAACTCTGAGTTCAAGGCCAGCCTGGTCTACAGAGCAAGTTCCGGGACAGGCCTCAAAAGGTACAGAGAAACCTTGCCTTGGGGGAAAAATGTCTGCTTGTCTCTGCGTCCTGAGTGCTGGGATTAAAAGCAAGCGCCACTCACTAGCGGCAAGATTTTTGAGACAGGTCTCCGTGAGCCCATCGTGTAGCCCATGTTGCCTTGGTTCTCACTGTGTAGATCAGGGTGGTCTCAGACTCACAGAAATTTGCCTGCATCTGCCTCCCAAGTGCTGGAATTCTGCCTGAGTTTTATTTTTATGTGTGTTTTGTCTGTAAGCATAATGTGTACCATGTGTGTGATTGGTGCCCAAGAAGGACAGAAGAGGGTATCAGGCCCTGTGACCTTTTTCTCTCCTTGTGGGAGTTAGGAAGTCACAGCACCTACTGTTACGTATGGATGGTTTTAAACCTCCATGTCTAGGAGTTAAACTCTGGTCCTGTGCAAGAGCAACAGTGTTCTTAGTCTCTGAGACGTCTCTAGCCCCTCATTCTGTTTTAATTCAGCATCTCACTTTGTAGCTGACTGGCCTGGTAGTCACAGAGATCCACCTGCTTTTGTCCCCATGGGATTAGAAGCTTGTGCCATGATACCCACCTGTTTTTAGCTTTAGATTACAGTTGTGAGCTCCTGGTGTGGCTTTACATTTAGAAAAGGAGCTCACTTTTAGATACTAAGTTACAAAGAAAGGGAGAACTGTTTGGCTTTTTTATTGTAAGATTTATTTTTATTTATTTATTGTTATCATTATGGGTACTTTTTGGATTTTTTTTTTTTTTCTGAGACAGTCTCTCTGTATAGCTCTGTCTACCTGGAACTCACTGTGTATGTAGACCAGGATGGCCTCGAATTCCCAAGAGATCCACCTGCCTCTGCCTCCCAAGTGCTGGAGGCATATACCACCACTTCCCGCTTATTTTTAGTTATATGTTGGTTTGTGGGGACAGGGTATGTACGTGCCTGTAGGTACTGGGTCTCCTAGAGCTGAGTTCACCAGTAGTTGTGAACTGCTGCCCAGTATGGGTGCTGGAGATTGAGCTGCGGTTCTGTGCAGTAACAGACTTGGTGTCAGTTCTTAACCGCTGAGCCTTTCTCCAGCCTGTTTTTCTTACTGGGGTTTTCCCTCCTCCCGTTCATACCTAGCTTTGTTTATTGTCTGTTTGGGGTTTTTGTTTTTGGCTTGATAAATACCTGCTTATTGGTACAGTTGGCTAGGGACACTGTTTGCTCTTATCCTCACTCAGCACCTGAAGTCAGGTGTCCCTCTTCCTTCTTCCTTCCTTTGGTTTTCTGATTCCGACGCATGACTGTCCTTTCAGATGAATGTAAAGGAATTTAAGGAGCACATTGCTGCCTCCGTCAGCATCCCTTCTGAGAAACAGCGGCTCATCTACCAGGGCCGGGTTCTGCAGGACGATAAGAAGCTCCAAGAATACAGTAAGGGCAGGGGAACTGCCTGGGGCTGAGGTTGCTGTCCGAGGCCGTGGGTTTTTACTGACAAGCTTTGGTGTCATCTTTTTCTTCTGCAGATGTTGGGGGGAAGGTTATCCACCTGGTGGAACGGGCTCCTCCTCAGACTCAGCTCCCGTCTGGAGCATCTTCTGGGACAGGGTCTGCCTCAGCTACTCATGGTGGGGCACCCCTGCCTGGCACTCGGGGGCCTGGGGCCTCTGTTCACGACCGGAATGCCAACAGCTATGTCATGGTTGGAACCTTCAATCTTCCTGTGAGCCTGTGTTTCTCGTGTGGGAGGGTTTTGTTGGGGAGAGTGGCTCTCATTATGGCAGCTGTAGGGAGCGTAGAAGACAGGTGTTTTGAGTGCTTGCCTTGAGTTTGGAAGACCCTCTGACCTATAGTGGCCTCAGTTTTTGAGGAAAAGAGGGTAGGGGCTCCAGAAAAGGAATTGGCAGTATGGAGGCCTTAGTATGTGGCTTCTCCCAGAGCAACTTCCCTTACCCTTTCCCCAGAGTGACGGCTCTGCTGTGGATGTTCACATCAACATGGAACAGGCCCCAATTCAGGTATTGAGGGGCCTGGGAGGGTCAGGGAAGGGGATCTGGGAGAAGGAGGCCATGAGGTGGGGGGAACCTGGCTGAGGAGATGCCTGGGAGCTGGTGTAGTATGTTTTGGAGCTCACGGCTTAGTCTCGGCCCTGCCCTGATCATCCTCCTTATGTTATAGAGTGAGCCCCGGGTACGGCTGGTGATGGCTCAACACATGATCAGAGATATCCAGACCCTCCTGTCCCGGATGGAGGTGAGTGGGCAAGTCTGCCAGGCTCCATAGTTCCTTTCTGTTCTCTCTTCTCATGGTCTGGCAGGAAGAATATTGCTGGCCACAGTCACAGCGACTGCAGTGCCTTCCTAGTCTGTCTGTCTGTCTGTCTTTCTTTCTTTTTCTTTTCCTTTTTTTTTTTTTCAGCTTCTCTGGCTTTGGATCCTGTCCTGGAACTAGCTCTTGTAGACCAGGCTGGCCTCGAACTCAGAGATTTGGGCTTAAAGGTGTGCGCCACCACCACCTGGCTTCTCTCTCTCTCTTTTTATTTATTTATTTTGGCCTTCCTTCCTTCCTTCCTTCCTTCCTTCCTTCCTTCCTTCCTTCCTTCCTTCCTTCCTTCCTTCCTCCATGTCCTGCCTGTAGGCCAGAAGAGGGCATCAGATCTCACTAAAGGCGGTTGTGAGCCACCATGTGGTTGCTGGGAATTGAACTCAGGACCTCTGGAAGGGCAGTCAGTGCTCTTAACCGCTGAGCCATCTCTCCAGCCCCCTATTTCGGTTTTCTTAAGACAGGGTTTCTCTGTCAGTTTGGAGTGTGTCCTGGCACTTGCTCTGTAGACCAGGCTGGCCTTGAGCTCAGAGATTCTCCTGCTTCTGCCTCCTGAGTGTTCGGTGCTGGGATTAAAGGCTTGCGACTCCACTGCCCGGCAGGTTTTCTATGTAGTCCTTTTAGGCAAAGAAAGTCTGTTTGCGAGGCTGCCTGCCTCAGTTTCTCAGGTGAGGTTTATGGGCATGCTCCAGTGTTGTGTGCTGCTGCCAGTCCTGATGCCGGTTTCTGAGTTCATTTCAGGCTTGCCAGATAATGCCATAGATTCCCTGCATTTAGAGAAGTAGCCCCCTTTTTTTTCCTTGAGCTGTCTCTGTCCTGGGTTGTCCTTGAACTCAGTGTGTCTCCTAGCTCATCCTCTTAAGTGCCCTGATTATAGGTGGGAGGCACCATGCAAGGCTGCATGCCATATTTTTAAATTTTTTTTTTCTTTTTGTTTTGCTTTTGAGACAGGGTTTCTGTGTGTAGCCCTGGCTGTCCTGGAACTTGCTTTGAAGACCAGGCTGGCCTGGAACTCACAGAGATCTGCCTGCCTCTCCCTCCTGAGTGCCAGGATTAAACATGTGTGCTGCCTCTACCGGGCAGTTTTTAAAATTCCTTAACGATCATCATGTTAAGGGTGGGGATACCTTAACTGTCAGTTTTGTTGTAGCCACAGTGACCATTTCCTCTCCTTGTTTAGGAAGTTAGGGAAGCACGGTTGCTACTCTGTAAAGGTTACAAATGGTTCCCGTGTACCCCACTTCTGCCAGCCCTGCCTTCGGGGAGTCTTGGTGGGCACCATCTCCACTCTTTACTTATTTGATATGCATAACCCTCAGCAGCAGTAATTTCATCCTGTCCTTGGTGTCCCGACTCTTCCTCCACATTCAGTGTCGAGGGGGACCCCAAGCACAGGCCAGTCAGCCACCCCCGCAGACGCCAACTGTGGCCTCGGAGACAGCCTTGAGCTCACAACCGTCAGAACCAGTCGAGAGTGAAGCACCTCCTCGAGAGCCCATGGAGTCAGAAGACATGGAGGAACGCACCCCAGCCCAGACTCCAGAGCTTACCCCTTCTGGCCCAGCTCCAGCGGGTCCAACACCTGCTCCAGAGACAAATACGCCCAAGTGAGAGGTGGAGGGAACCTTTGGGGACCAGGAAGATACGAAGCGGGGAAAGTGGATGATGGGGGGATCAAAGGTCAGCGCTTGTGTAGCACTAATGTCTGAGGCAGGAGGCTCTATGAATGCCTCCGCCTGTGCTTTGTAGAGGCCTGGTCTGGTTTTGAGCTCTTTTTGGCTCCTCTGCACAGGGCCATGCTGGGACATGGGAGCAATTGGCTTTCTCTTCTCCGTTCTCTGCAAAGAGAACCCCTGGGGGCTGGCAGGGGCCCTGGAGGACAGCTCATCTCACTGCCCCATGTTCCCGCAGCCACCCTTCCCCTGCCGAGCATGTGGAGGTGCTCCAGGAGCTGCAGCGCTTGCAGCGCCGTCTTCAGCCCTTCCTGCAGCGCTACTGTGAGGTCCTCGGTGCTGCGGCCACCACAGACTACAACAACAACGTGAGCCTTGGGATGGCCTTCCTGCCCAATAGCCCAGTACCTGGATAGCTCCTCACTGTCCTGTGTTAGCGCACACATACCCCCCATAGGGGACTGGTCTACGTGATGGGGTGGTGACAGTCTGTGGACTGGTGTGTCCTCAGTTGTTTAGGAAGTGTACAGGGTGAGGAAGATCTTATGTGGTTACTAAAACTTTGCTGTGTCTTGTGGAAAAGTATTTATGTATACTGAATAGAATTTACTTGAAAATTGAAAAGCTTTAGTTCATGTGAAAGCTTCCCAAGACAAAGCATGTGGCAGTCTCCGAAGCCATTATCCCTCTTGTTAATTTCTTGTTTTTCTGGGTTTGCCCTGGGCGCAGCATGAGGGCCGTGAGGAGGACCAGAGGCTGATAAACTTGGTGGGGGAGAGCCTCCGGCTGCTGGGCAACACTTTCGTGGCACTGTCTGACCTGCGCTGCAATCTGGCTTGTGCACCCCCGCGGCATCTTCACGTGGTGCGGCCCATGTCTCACTACACGACTCCCATGGTGCTCCAGCAGGCAGCCATTCCCATTCAGGTGGGTTCAGGGAGCCTGGCTGGAGGGAGAACAGGGGCATGGGAGATGAGGGTGACCCAGATGACAGCTGGGAAGCTCTGGAGCAAAAACTAGGGAAATAGCATGAGGAGTCTTTAGAGGTGGCTCTCAGCCCCTGCGTTGTTCTCACATCTGCATCCTTCTCTTCAGATCAATGTGGGAACTACTGTGACCATGACAGGCAACGGGGCTAGGCCTCCACCAGCTCCCAGTTCAGAGGCAGCTTCCCCGGGTTCTGGCCAGGCCTCATCCCTGCCTCCATCTTCTACCACTGTGGATTCATCAACTGAAGGAGCCCCCCCGCCGGGGACAGCTCCACCCTCAGCTGCCAGCCACCCACGGGTCATCCGGATTTCCCACCAGAGCGTGGAGCCTGTTGTCATGATGCACATGAACATTCAAGGTGAGCGCGGGGAGGCAGGAGGGGAGGGGCTCTGTCCTTGGGTTTGCAGAAAGAGAAAGTGGAGGAAAGGGCAGGGTTTCTGGAGGCCTGGGGAATGGATGATCTCAGGAGGATACAGCCAAACCTTGGCCCTACCCTTCTTAATTTTTCCTGTCTTCCCTGCTCAGATTCTGGATCACAGCCCGGTGGTGTCCCGAGTGCTCCCACTGGTCCCTTGGGACCTCCTGGTCACGGACAGACCCTGGGTAAGAGTGAGGCTATAGGAGCAGGCTGAGAGCTCTGGGTAGAAAAGGGGTAGGGCTGAGTGGGTGGCTTGAAGTGGTCCAGGTTCAAGGTTACATCAGACCCACCCCCCAGGCTCCACCCTCATCCAGCTGCCCTCCCTGCCCCCTGAGTTCATGCACGCCGTCGCCCACCAGATCACTCATCAGGCCATGGTGGCAGCTGTTGCCTCCGCGGCCGCAGGTAATGGAAGGGGAGGCCTGGGAGGTGGGGCCTAGTTAATGGTGGTGGGTCTTGTCTGCTGGCGGGGAAGGGCTGAACCCTCAGCCTTCTTTGGTCTCTCTTTTTGCCCACAGGACAGCAAGTGCCTGGCTTCCCAACAGCACCAACTCGGGTGGTGATTGCTCGGCCCACTCCTCCACAGGCTCGGCCTTCCCATCCTGGGGGTCCTCCGGTCTCTGGGACTCTGGTGAGCAAGGGTTGGGGAAAATACCAGTGAGGAAATACTGGAGGATTGTGGGAGGGGGGAGGGACAAGATTAAATCTTTTTCCTGTTCCCCAGCAGGGCACTGGGCTGGGTACAAACACTTCATTGGCCCAGATGGTGAGCGGCCTTGTGGGGCAACTTCTTATGCAGCCTGTCCTTGTGGGTGAGTCCTGTTCTTTTCTAGCTAGCTCAAACTTTACGTATTTCCAGCTGCAGCTGGGGTTACTGTGAGTTCAAGGACACCCTAGACTGTAGACTTCTAATTTCTAAGCTAGCCTGGGCTACTGAGTAAGATTCTGGAAAGGGCTGTCCATGACAGCTGTCCTGCTCACGCATGTCCTTGTCTTGTAGAAGTTCTTAGTTTCTGTTTTCCTGCCGGAAAGGCCAGGATGAGGCAGCTGAAATCTGGTTTTTGTTCAAATTGTACTTTTTTATTTTTTGGTTCTTAACAGCTCAGGGGACTCCAGGAATGGCTGCAGCTGCAGCTCCTGCCCCAGCTCCTGCGCCTGCCCCAGCTCCGGCCACTGCGTCAGCTAGTGCTGGTACCACCAACACAGCTACAACTGCTGGCCCTGCTCCTGGGGGTCCTGCCCAGCCTCCACCTCCGCAGCCCTCTGCAGCCGACCTTCAGTTCTCTCAGCTCCTGGGGAACCTGCTGGGGCCTGCAGGGCCCGGGGCTGGCGGGCCTGGCCTGGCCTCTCCCACCATCACTGTTGCAATGCCTGGTGTGCCCGCTTTTCTCCAGGGCATGACTGACTTCTTGCAGGTAAGTGACTGTCCTTGTTCCCTTGTGCTCCAGCCCAGTAGAGCAGTGGTCTTTGTTGCCGCTCTGTAACTGCCTTAGTGAGGGGACAGTGACGTAAGAGAGGACAGGACCTGAAGATCTGTGGATGCCTAAAAGTCAGCACTGCCTGCTTCCTGCTCTGACCCGGTCTGTCCCTGAGTGTTCTGGCTTAAGAAGTTAAGATTAAAGCTAGCTCTTGCTGCTCGTGCAGAGAGACCTGACTCTGATTTCTAGCACCCACATGGTGGTTCACAACCATCTGGAGCTCCAGTTCCAGGGATCTGTCACTCTCTTCTGGTCCCCATGGGAACCAAGCATACACGTTTAACTGATGTAGTCAGGCAGAATGCCCATACACATTAAATACAGTGATAAAAAAGAGTTTTTTTTAAAGTCAAACTCAGAATTTAGCTTCCTCCCCTTCTCCCAGGCTTACTGTTTTGTGCCCTCTTGATGCAGTTTTTTGTTCTTGACCCTGTGTCTTTGTCTTCTGTTCTTTACTCCTTCTCTGTTAGGCATCACAGACTGCCCCTCCACCCCCTCCCCCTCCTCCACCCCCACCCCCTGCCCCAGAGCAGCAGACCACACCCCCACCAGGATCCCCTTCTGGTGGAGCAGGGAGTCCTGGAGGCTTGGGTCCTGAGAGCCTGCCACCGGAGTTTTTCACCTCGGTGGTGCAGGGCGTGCTGAGCTCCCTCCTGGGCTCCTTGGGGGCTCGGGCTGGCAGCAGTGAGAGCATTGCTGCCTTCATCCAACGCCTCAGTGGATCCAGCAACATCTTTGAGCCTGGGGCTGATGGGGCTCTTGGTAAGCAAAATGGAGGTGCTATAGTCTTGGGAACTAGCAGGGTTGAAGGGTAGTTGGCTTTTCTTTACTAAGGATTAGGGCTAGGCTGGGACGTGAAGGCCATTGCTCACTTCTGACCCTCTCCCTAGGATTCTTTGGAGCTCTGCTCTCTCTTCTGTGCCAGAATTTCTCAATGGTGGATGTGGTGATGCTTCTGCATGGGCATTTCCAGCCACTGCAGCGGCTCCAGCCTCAGCTGCGAGCTTTCTTCCACCAGCACTATCTGGGTGGTCAGGAGCCCACGCCTGGCAACATCCGGGTAAATGAAGGCGCTGGGCCCCAGAGATTTCCTTGCTCCCCACCTCCATTCCTTAACCCTGACATCAGTCAGTGAGGTGGAACTAAACCTGAGCTATGACGTTCCTCTACAGATGGCAACCCACACACTGATCACTGGCCTGGAGGAATATGTGAGGGAGAGTTTTGTGAGTATACTTTGTGTGTTTTCTTCCTGTCTAGGTTTGGGCGGGGAGGCTGGGGGTCCTGCTGCCTCCACCTTCTAGATCCTCAAGGTCCTGATTTGGAGTTCTTTCTGTGTTTCAGTCTTTGGTGCAGGTTCAACCAGGTGTGGACATCATCAGGACAAATTTAGAGTTTCTGCAGGAGCAGTTTAACAGCATTGCTGCTCACGTCCTGCACTGCACAGGTGAGGCCAGCGCAGCCGGGGAGAGGGTGTGTTGGCTGTGCAGGACTGCCAGACTCATGGGCCTCTCACATTTTCCTGCAGACAGTGGATTTGGAGCCCGGTTGCTGGAACTGTGTAACCAGGGCCTGTTTGAGTGCTTGGCCCTGAACCTGCACTGCTTGGGGGGACAGCAGATGGAGCTTGCTGCCGTCATCAATGGCCGAATTGTAAGCACAGTTCTCTGGGCTCTAGCTTCTTTGTTATGTCTTGTAGAGTTGATATTTCTCTCCAGACACTGCACCTGCTGCGTAGATGTAGATCACACGAGCAGGTTGAAAGTTCAAGTGGGATTTCTAACCCTCAGCGTCGCATGTCTCGTGGAGTGAACCCGTCCTTGGTGAGCTGGCTGACGACCATGATGGGACTGAGGCTTCAGGTGGTCCTGGAGCACATGCCTGTGGGCCCTGATGCCATCCTCAGATACGTGCGCAGGGTCGGCGACCCCCCTCAGGTACGGAATCGGGATGGAAGGAAGAGATGGGTGGACTGACTCCTCCCACACCACCACCAGCTCCTTTCTTTGTCTAATTTCACAGGCCCTTCCTGAAGAGCCAATGGAAGTTCAGGGAGCAGAAAGAACTTCCCCTGAACCTCAGGTACCAGGGAGAGGTGGAGAGACCAGATAATGTATAGATGGCTGGAAGAAAAGGGGCTTAAGGGGCAATGAATTCTGAAGTCCGGACCTTCCTGCCATCTGCTTTCTAGTGGGAGAATGCTTCTCCAGCCCCTGGAACAACAGCAGAAGAAGCCATGTCCCGAGCCCCGCCCCCTGCTCCCGAGGGGGGTTCCCGAGATGAGCAGGACGGAGCTTCAGCTGATGCAGAGCCTTGGGCAGCTGCAGTTCCCCCAGTAAGTGGCGAGAGGTGATGCAGTGGGTTAAAGAGCTGTAAGTTGTGGAATTATTTCTAATCCTTTCCTCCCCAGGAATGGGTCCCTATTATCCAGCAGGACATTCAGAGCCAGCGGAAGGTGAAACCTCAGCCGCCCCTGAGTGATGCCTACCTCAGTGGTATGCCTGCCAAGAGACGCAAGGTTGGTCTCTTTCCTGAGGATGTCTCTCTCTATGCAGTACCCTTGTTGAGCTAGTTGAGTTTCTTCATCTAGTTAGGAAGCCTGCTTGGGGGTCAGGCTTGTTCATGTGAACCTTCATCTTACTGTTTGTGGCAGTTCTGGTACCTCAGCTTTGTGATTTCCCAAGTGATTAGGGTCCATTGTGTAAGATGGGCTTTGCCTTGAAGAGTAGCTAACTCTGAGTCTCAGATGGTCTGACCTGCTGGTGCCTTCTTTTGCAATCAAACATTTTCTGGCCATAAATTAGGAAGGCATTTCTGCTGTTAAAACCACATGCAGACTGTTCCCCTACCCTGGTTAACTAATGGAAAGGGTGAGCTGGGTGGTGGCACTGGGTCTGATGTTGATCCCCTTTTCCCTCTCAACCTGTCCCCAGACAATGCAAGGTGAGGGCCCCCAGCTGCTACTCTCAGAGGCAGTGAGCCGGGCAGCTAAGGCAGCCGGAGCTCGGCCCCTGACAAGCCCCGAGAGCCTGAGCCGGGACCTGGAGGCACCAGAGGTTCAGGAGAGCTACAGGCAGCAGGTGCCCCACTTTCAGCAGAATAGGGATGGTCTATTGGGAGGGTCGGGTCAGGTTCCTGCTTCCCGGTATCTATTGAGAGATGAATTGGTAGTGTGGGGGCTGCCGGTTGGTGGTCCAGGTTTTCCTGTGGCCTTTGGGAAGGCTCAGCTGTCGCATTGGGCTTGCTGGGAAGTACATCCTGAGGGTTGTCTCTTCACTGGGATCCTAGGGCTAAACCAGGACTCCTTCAACCTGCTTGTGCTTTCTCTCTCTACTCTAGCTCCGGTCTGATATCCAGAAACGACTGCAGGAAGATCCCAACTACAGCCCCCAGCGCTTCCCTAATGCCCACCGGGCATTTGCTGACGACCCCTAGCTTTCTCACCAGGGGACCGTTTCCCCCTTCCTTCACAGTATTTAAGAAATAAAAGTCGGATTTTCCTGGCTCCTTTGTCTGGTCGTGTTGAATACTTTCATTTCCTTCACACATTTCATCAGAGAATCCCTAGGTGCCCAGTACACATACACCATTCATACTCTCCTTATGGACTGTGTGCAGGCCTATCAAGATGTACTCAGCTGGGCAGTGGTGGTTACCATCTTTAATCCCAGCAGTTGGGAGGCAGAGGCCAGCCTGGTCTACAGAGCAAGCTCCAGGACAGCCAGGCTACACAGAGAAACCCTGTCTCAAAGGACTGAAAATGCTAGACATAGCATTCTGTGGCACCCATGCACCTCTGCCACCCGTTATCCTGCCTCTTTAAGAGGCTGCTGTTGTAACATCAGTTAAACTAGTCTCATTTTAAGCTCAGGCCAGCTCCTAAGTTTTACAACTTGGCCCTGGATCTCTGGAACAGGAAGGCCTGATGACTAAGTTCCATGCTGAAGAAAACCTGAAAAGTAGGAGGCTATAGGGTATTTGGTGGTTGAATGAAAGTGGACCCCCATAGGGAGCGTCACTACACTATTAGGTGTGGCTTTGCTGAAGATGCTCAGGCCAGGCTGTGGTACAGTGCTGCTCTCTGATCCAGATATAGGACTCTTGGCTCTTCCAGCACCATGTTTGCCTGTATCTCACTATGTTGAGCGTAACTAAATCTTTGAAGCTGTATGCCTACCCCATAGTTGCATGGTTATTGTGTCTCTTCACAGTTGGTACCAAGAACTGGGGTAATGCCGTGATAGGCCTGACCATGCTTTTCGAGTTTTGGATTAGGATAGGAAAGTAGCTAAGTACATTAAATGAGACTTAGTGGACCATGTTAGTAGGGAAAAGGAGGTGCCAGTAGCAGTGTGGTGCTGGGGGTATTTTGAACTGTGGGGCCCTGGCTTAAGAGGTTTCAGAGGAGGATATTAATATGTTGGCTAGAGATGTGCTTATATTTTGATGAAGAATGTGACTTTCTGCTCTTCTACAAAAAAGTGCCTTGAGGCTAAATTGAAGATTTATGAATAGTTTTGACAAAGATTTCCAGATAGCTCAGTAGTGACTATGGCTTGGTTATTTGTTGCCACATGTACACAGATCTATAATGAAAAGGAGCAAGCTGAGCAATGAAAAATACAAAATGAACTACTTGAGAAAAGGAACCCCGGAAGTGTAAACAGATTAAAGTAAAGCCTGATGACCCCACCCAGCATTAGGATGGTGGTGGATCTAGTCTCATCTACAGAACAACTTCCAGAACAGCTTTAGTTTTAGTCAGTGAAGGAAACCATGGAAAACAGAAAGGTGGTGAAGTTGTAATTGAACAAGGGGGCACGTTCCAGCCCTTGGCAGCTTCAGCCACATGGTTCTGAATTTTGAGTCAAGAGATGCAAGAAAAGAGTTATGGAATCTCTCTCAATGGCTAAAGATGCAGAGGCCAGCATGTGTCAGGATATGGCCTAGAGCAATGGAAATCTAGCAAGGAGAGCTGCTAACAGTGGAAAGTTGGAGCTCATTAGAGACTCAGTTTGGAGTCTGCCGGGCTGGTTTACGGTGTTTGGTCCAGCATTTCCTGTTTTGGAATGGTAATGAATATTCTATACCACTATATGTTGGAAGCATATGATCTGCTTTCTGACTTTATAGGGGATTTAGTTAGGAGATAGCACAAATCTCAGAAAAGACTTTGAACTTTTAAACAGTATTGAGACAATTGTCATTGACTATGGGGCCTTTTGAAATTGGACTAAATGTATTTGTATTATATTGTTACAAGCTTATTAGAGCCAGTGAATGGAATGTGGTGATTTGGATGTAATTGGCCCCCATAAACTCATAGGGAGTAGCACTATTAGGTGTGGCTTTGTTAGAGAAAGTGTTACTGTGAGGTCTCCTTTGCTAAAGCTATGCTCAATGTGACACAATTTTACTTTTAGAAACCATCAAAACTAATTACGAAAATGTTTGGATGAGAGTAGTTCCAGCAAACAGAACTTGGCAGCTTCAGCCATTTTAGTCAAGGTTACAAGAAAGGGGAGCTGGGTGGTAGCCACAGTGCACACCTTTAATTCCAGCACTCAGAAGGCAGAGGCAGGAGGATCTCTGTGAGTTTGAGGCCAGCCTGGCCTACAAAGTGAGTTCAGGACAACCAGGGCTTCACAGAGAAACCCTTTCTTGAAAAAACAAACACCAAAAAAAAAAAAAACAAACAAGAAACAGGTTATGGTCCCAGAAGCCAGTTAAAAGAGAAAAGCTGGGGGTGTGGGGGCTGGAGAGATGGCTCAGTGGTTAAGAGCACCCGCTGCTCTTCCAGAGGTCCTGAGTTCAATTCCCAGCAACCATATGGTGGCTCACAACCATCTGTAATGAGATCTGGCGCCCTCTTCTGGCGTGTGGGCATACATGCAAGCAGAATGTTGTATACATAATAAATAAACCCTAAAAAAAAAAAAAAAAAGAGAAGCCGGGCTGTGGTGGAGCACAGTCTGGAGGCAGAGGTAGGTGGATCTCTAAGAGTTCAAGGCCAGCCTGGTCTACAGAGACCCTGTAAAACAAGTCACTGATAAGCCTCTGTTGCCACTATCAATCCCATAGAGGACGGGGCTATACAACTGTAACATACGTTCAGAGTGCCTAGGCCTGTCACATGCAGGTTCCCTTGTTGTTGTGACAGGGGAGGCTGCAGCCACGACATAAAGTAGATGATGCAAATGCTAATACAAAACTCAAGTCCAAGTGGATCAAAGACCTCAACATAAAGCCAGCCACACTGAACCTCACAGAAGAGAAAGCGGGAAGTACACTTGAATGCATTGACACAGGAGAGCACTTCCTAAATAGAACGCCAGCAGCACAGACACAGAGAAACAATTAATAAATGGGAGGGGAGCAGAAGGAAATGTACAGCTCAATAAATATCAATGAAAAAATGTATTGTGCTAGTGGATTTTCACTCCATGCTAAAAGCCAGGTGTCAGAGATACCTCTGCTTGACACTTAGAGGGGTCATTGTCGAGCCTGGACTGTGTTGGAGACCTCGATATTGTGGAGACACTAGAGCCATGGATACCAGCCGAGTAGAGCTGCTAACAAGGAATGGAAGCAGTCAGTCCAAGAAAAAGAGGTGTGTTGCAGTCAACAAAGCTGAAAGAAGCTGGAGATTTGAAGTGCGTTTTGACATAAGATAGAGATGTAATGTTTGGAACTGCACAGCTGGTTTTCAGTCTTGCTTTTTTTTTTTCTTCATTTCAGCAGTTCTTTATTATGTATACAATGTTCTGTCTGTGTGTATGCCTGCAGGCCAGGAGAGGGCACCAGACCTCATTACAGATGGTTGTGAGCCACCATGTGGTTGCTGGGAATTGAACTCAGAACCTTTGAAAGAGCAGGTAATACTCTTAACCGCTGAGCCATCTCTCCAGCCCCCTCTGTCTTGCTTTGGTCCAATATTTCCTTGCTGTACTTTTATCATCCTGCTGCATGCAAATCCAGATGTCACCATTTTTCCTGCCATGCTGATTGTGGACTAAACCTCCTCTGAACCTATAAGCTAGCTCCAATTAAATGCTTTCCTTTCTAAGAATTACATGGTTACTTACAGCAGCAGAAACCCTAAGACAGGTATGCACTGGCCTCCACTGGTATGAGCAGAATTCCTTATTTGAGCCCAGCCAAAATTCGTAATTCTGGAACCTTGAAGTAACCAGCAGGTAACTCAAGTACATAGTTCTTACTGAATCTACTGCATACATCACTAAGCAACACACTGTACATTAGTTAATCCCCCAAATGACTTCCTTTTTTTTTTTTTAAATTCTTTTATTCTTTTTTAACAAACGGCCCCAGGGATAGGGGACCAGGGGAAAGAGAAGAGGGGAAGTGAGGCTCCAGACCCACAACCCCTACCCATCCACCCCTTTCCCCCTTATATATTTATAATCTATATACAAGCCCCGGGGGTTGGGGTCAAGGGGAATTCCCTCAGCAGGGTGGGGGCAATCCAGGATCCTTGTCCCCCCGGGACCCAGGCTCCTCTGCCCTTCGGGGAGGCCCTTCTCGAGAAGGTGGCCCTGTCCGTTCCCAAGGCTTCGGCATCCAGCGCAGGGCATCTGGTGGGGAGGCCTGAGGATAGGCACACGGGGAAGGGTTAAGTCACCAATCCTTCAGCAGCTCAGAAGGGAACCTAAGCTAAGGCTGGGGTCACAAGGTTTCTCCTTCACCTGCTGGTAGAGGTCAATGCGCTGAGTTCGGAATACTCCACTGTAGGTGGAAGGTGGGGCCTTGAGACGGGAATTGAGACCAGAGAAGGGCCTAAAGGAAAAAATTTAATTAAGGCAAGCCCAAGACCTGTCCTGGTTTCAAAGAAAACTCCTGAGGATGCAGAGTCTATATATTCCTATTTACCTTCCAGTTGGGGGAGTCCGAGATGACCCAGGACCACCAAGGTTGCTGCTGAGCTTGCGATAATCCTGGAAAGGCTTTAGTTCTACTGGGTGCAGCTGAAGATAAAAGACGATTCACCCTATGAACCTCCAGTCTGATCTATTCATCCTTTTTCTTCCTTTTTTGGGGGGACAGACTCTGAATCTCTCTACCTCGCCATCTTTCAAAATCCACTCAACGTGGACTACTGAGTCCTTCCACCCAACAGCCACCTCACTGCTCAGCCGCTATTCCCCACACCTCACCTCTGCTCGCCCCAAGCTAGGGGGGAAGGGCCTGGCAGATGAAGGCAACACCCGAGTAGCGGGAGCAGGTGGGGGCCGCACGGTCAGGCTGGGGGGCTGCAGAGCAGGACCCACAGGTAACAGAGAAAGAGGGGGTGGAGCAGGAGGTGGTGCTGGTGGCAGGGAGCCAAAGTTCACCACTGGCAGCTGTGACTCTACCACAGGCAGAAGCATCTGCAACAAGAACCCCAGGGAGCCCATTAGGGCAGCAAGGCATGTGAGAAAATTCAAACTAAGTCAGGGGAAGGAGTAGAGATGACAGATACCTGCTGAGCAGGGGCCCCTGAGGGAA